TGCATGGGCTAATGAAACTTTGACGCAACCGATTCGTTCAAAACACGGAATCAATCAGCAATGAATCGGCTGTCTGCTGTGAGGTGCCCTGTTTTCCGCCTAAAATGTAAGTGACCTAATATTATTGTATTTTCTTATTGAACTGTTTATAGAACTATTAAACAGTCGTAATGGTGAAAACGTTGTGTGATGTTGCCTAACTAACTGTATTTAAATATAAAAACTTTCCATTTTGAATTTTTATCTCAGGATGCTGAGTTTCTTTAGTGTTGCGCGTTTTGATTTCTCCTGGAGAGGCTACGTGAGCCTCGCCTCAGCAGCGCAACCTTATTCCGTCAATAGATGCATTATATACAGCAGCTATATCCACTATTCGCCACTTACTCTAAATGTAATACAATCTAAATAATACTTGCGTTTTGGTGTTTACATAGTTCTTTTTGGTTACTGATGTTTTAATCATGTTATTTTTCTGGAGTTAATGTCGAGCCGTGGAGTCTATGTGCCGGGGCTCAGCCCCGGACGACCCCGGCCCAATTTAAACCCTGTATATATATATATATATATATATATATATACACACATACACATACACATACACATACACACACACACACACACACACACACACACTTAACGTTAACTTTAAGTTTGATGCCTGTAAGATTTTTAAATGTTTTTGAAAGTCTCTTATGCTCCCCAAGGCTGCTTTTATTAGATCAAAAATACAGTAAAGCAATAATAATGTGAAATATTGTTACAGTTTTAAATAACTGTTTTCTATTTGACTATCTTTTAAAATGTAATGTATTTCCGTGTTGGCAAAGCTAAATGTTTTGCATCGTTACTCCAGTCTTCAGTGTCACATGATCCTTAACAAATCATTCTAATTTGCAGATTTGGTGCTCAAGAAACTTTTTTTATAGAAAAAAATTATTTTTCAAAAAACACTTAAAAATTTAAACAGATGGTTTTATCCAAAGCGACCTAAGCTGGTCTGACACGTTCCCCTGAAGCAGCATGAGGTTAAATGTCTGGTCCAGGGGCAAAACAGTGATACAGCAGGACTGCGATTTCATTGGCTCTTCAACGGTTGGTTCATCCTTACATCTTTGCCACATTGACACCAAAAGTACAACCTCTCCGGAAACAGCTTGGAGCCGTGAGCACAAAGCTATCATCATGCCCTCTGCCTGTCAGGACCTTTCCTTGAATATTTCAAGATATTTAGAGCAGTAAAATTAGTGAGCTGACTGATTTCAGATCAGCCCCTTCATTGAGATGGCTATTAGTTTGCAATTGTGTTTATCCATTTCTGGCTGTGTGTGTGTTCATTTTTTTTGCGTGTCAGTATATCTGTGCGTGTAGATGTAAGTGTGTAAGCTGTGGCCCTTCGCTGCAATCTGTCATATCATATTCTCATCCTACGGAATACCGACCTTATATCTCCAGAGACACATGCTGCTCTGATCTGCACCCCCCTCTGGAGAGCCCTACCGGGAGAAGAAAGGAGAGAGTTAGTGCACCCTTGTGTCCCAGCCCCACTAAAACACAAGCTCCCCTGGGAGGGGTCAGAGAAAACGTGGCCCGTCATACATTGTCTCCAAGCCTCCTCCATCAGAGTTACAGAAGCACGTCTGCTTCCTTTTTTAGGAGAAGTGATAGGAAGGGGCTGTTCTACTTTTAAGATCAGCAGAGAGAGAGAGAGAGAGAGAGAGAGAGAGATAAAAGCAAAGAAGAGGGGAAAGAGAAATAACAGAAAACTACAATAGGACTGAACAGAGAGAAGGGGACACTTCATATTTCCCCTGCACATACTGTACAATATTTATTTAATTACTCACCCGGCATATTGCCAATATATAAATACATACACATACCTTTCAAAAGTTTGAGGTCAGTAATATTTTTAAAAAAATATGAAAGATACTTTCCACAAAAAATATTAAGCAGATATGTTTCATAAGCAAATAAGCATATTAGAATGACTTCTGAAGGATCATGTGAAATTGAAGACTGAAGTAATGATGCTGAAAATTGAAAATGATTTGCATCACAGGAATAAATTCTAAAATATATTAACATAGAAAACAGTTAATTTAAAATGTAATAACATTTCACAATATTACTATTTTTATTGTATTTCTGATCAAGTAAATGCAGCCTTTGTGAGAATAAGGCTTCATACTTTTGTAAGGCAGCATGTACAGTGTACTTGTTGTAAATGCTGACAGTCATGCCAATAATAATGCTTTGTTGACTTCTGAGATACAGTAAAGAGAGTGAGTGAGAGAGAAAGGATCCATGTTTACCTGTGTCTACACTTCACTGCACATCTTCTGACTAACAGACCAACAAACAGGAACACATCATCTGACCACAGTTCAGTCCACTAATAGCCTTGGGTAATTTTGACCCATATTTTTAAGCAATTCCAAAGAAATTTGTGCAGGATGCAGCTGGAATTTTTGTAGTAGGATTTTTAATAATGGAGCTTCATTTTAGATTCCAATTTATTGGAAAACAAAAAATATGCATACACTGTCAGCAAAAAAAAAAAAAAACGTGCAAAAATTGCACATATAGGGGAAAAACAGCTTATCACTGGGACTGTACCCACATTCTTTACCACTAAATGCTGCATATTAATATCTGAGAGTAGTGATATGTACTCTTATGGTACTATTATAAACCTTAGGGGTAAAGAAGGTACAAAGGTGTCCCTTTGAGGGTACTGGCCCAGTGACAAACTGGGTTTATGATGTAGGTTTATTGTAAGTTTTATGATGCCAAGATAAAAATCCCTTATTGGACATCAAACAGAAAAAAAATACTACAGCTTCTAGTTCACTAAGAAAAGATGGTCCAACTATTATAACAGCAGATGTGCTACCTACTTTGAATATGGGTCTTGTAGGACTTTCTTCTTAATTCCACTTTCTTCAGTGACCTTGGTGTAGCCGGTCAGATCTGTTTCGATATCATCACATGTGTATTGCAAAAACAAGGCTTGCTCCTCCACTAGTAACTTGCAATTTTATGTTTCAACCACAGATGGTGATAGAGAGCCCAGAATTCTGTAGTATTCATCCTTTAAAATTATCTGTAATCTGGAAGTCATATTTGTACTGTTTCTGATGCTGATTACTGTCACTTAAACTGTTTTTATTCTCAAATATTTCAGGGTTTGTATAATGAACATTAGCAAACATTAGCACTCAGGTACATGGCCTTTAAACACAACATAGCCTGAAAGTAGACTGTTAGTGTTAACAATAAATTATTCATTTTTGAATCTAAACCATATATTATACATGCAAACTGAAGATTAAACTAGCATACAACATTATAAAGTGACCTCATCTTGCTGACAAACGCATGCAGACTTGCTTAGTAATGCTGCCCTTTCTGGTTTGTTTTGTTCCAGAGCCACTGGCCTATAGGAGTGTATTACAACAGCTAAAGGTACTGAACTCGCCTGCTCTCTCGGATGAGGGCTGGCTGTGAGGTCCACTTGCTCTTTGGCATGGCGAGAGAACCCAACCCCTCGAGTGCAGCTGTGGAGAGATGCTGACATTTTGGGCTCCTGTCATATTACACGCACCGCAGAGATTCAGTTTTTTGGGGATACCAAGTTGAAGCAGAATCTAGTCCAAAATAGTGCATTGCTCCTGGCAACAGCTTATTAATCAAAGGAAGCTACCAGGGCATGAATAGCTCTGGAGTGGATTTGTGTTTAAGAGGGTGCTTCTACATATAAAGCTATGAGTGTGTCGGGCAGCCAAACTTTTAATTCATCATAGGTTCTTCATGCTTCGCCATGCTCTTGCAACATGTCATTGTTTGACTCTCAAAGCCTTTTAAGAAAGCCTGTTAGGCCACAGATTGTTTAGGGCTTTGGAGACCTGAAGCATGTGTCCACTTTCCTTTGGGAATGCCAGGAGTGGAGTTCATTGCTTTCAGACCAACCGCCTGTCTGTCCTTATTGTGTACCAGGACAGACGACTGATATACTGTATATTTGGATTGTAATACTGTATGCTACGTGGACAATTTAAAAAAAAGAAAAGAAAAATCACAGTTAAAAAAATAGATATAAAAAAACAATAGATATTAACAATAAATAATAATAACAGCAACAACCATAATAATAATAATAATAATAATAATAATAGTATAATACATATTATATAATACATAATAGTAATGTTATCATTTCAGGAGGTTAAGTTTTTAAAATGCAAGTTTTTGAATATTGTTTTGCTAAATGTTTATATATATATATTTATATAATGTTTATATATTTTATTTATATATACAGTATATATGTAATGTTTGATGTTTGACATGACAAAGCTTAAAACTAACTTTATAGGATATCTTTGTCAAAAGTCAAACAGAGCCATAAGTTATGTCTTTATATAGACATAGATTTAATAATTGTGAATAAAATGTAATATTTAAATATTTCTAAAAACTTTGAAATTGAAGCTCATATCACAGAGGTGCAAAGCAATATGACAAATTACATATATTGCTACCTACAACACTATGACTAAATCAAAAACAGTAAATTAACACTGCTGTGTTATTTCATGTGAAAGTTGCCTAGTTATGTTTGGGCATGTGTGTGGAGGAATATAGGCTGGATTCGAAAGAAAAGAGGCAAAACAACCATCTTTGTTGCATAACCTTGAATCTGTGGTTTATTTAGCTAAACTTTAGCCACTGAAGCTCCATATGTCAGTCCCATCACAGTCCTCTGGCTTTAACAGATGATAGCTGTCCATTTTGAAGATCAAAAAGGAAGTGATGAACTATATACTCATAATGTCATGTCCTAAAAAAGCATCTTAAGTGCAAAACCCTTCATAACTAGTCAAGGCAAGCATCATGTTCATTGTAACTGTAGCGAAATAGTATAATAAATTTTTAAAGTAAATGTTGTACAATTTCATTTTCCAAGGAAAACTAGTTTCATCATTTAAATCCTCCTGGGTAGTTCAGTCACAGAATGCCATGTAATATTGCTCCATTCCACAAAATATATCAGACTTCCGACTGCATTAGGAGAAAAAGGAGTTGTGACTCCACATACCAGAGGGTTGAGAGTCATGCATGAAAATCAGATACTTGGCATTATGTAGTCATTTCCTTTGGACTTTGTGTGGCAGCCAGCTAAACAGCTTCCTGCATAATTTCTTCCTTTTGATTTTAGCCTTGAACAGGCACTGATTCTGGGGGTGACCTTGAGACTGAATCTGAATCGGAGGCAGAATCTGAGGCATAATCTCAGTCTGGGATTGAATCTGAGATATAATCTGATTTTGAGATTGAATCTGTGGCTGAAACGGAATCTGTGACTGAGATTGAATCTGAGGTTGAATCCGAGACACAATCTGTGGCTGAGCCTGAGGCCGAGACTGAATCTGTGGCTGCGACTGAGTTTGAGACTGAGACCGAATCTGGCACTGAATCTGAGAAATAATCTGAGGCTGTCTGTGGGTTTGACTCTCAGATTGGCTTTGGGTCATAATGTTTGCATTTAGCTGGTGTAATTTGTGATTCTGAATGAGTGAGGTGAGTAAAGAAAGAGATCCTTCTTTCCTCTCTGGGCATGATGGGCACAGACTCTGGAGGAGTTCCTTGAATCTTCTCTCCTGTTGACGGAAGTCATACTCCACACTAGTCCAAAGAGTGAATAAGAAAAGTGGGAAAGAGATAAGGGAAAAGGTAGGGGGGGCAGAAAAGAGAGCATTCTATATGATTGTTAATGCTTCATAGTTCTTTTTTCCCCTTGGAATTACATGCATTTGCACAACCATTCATTACTCCAGTCTTCAGTAATCATTCTAATATGCTGATTTTGGTGCTCAAGTAAAATTTCCTATTATCACTGTTGAGATTTTTTTTTTTTAGAATTTTGGTTAAAAAGTAAGTCCAAAAGAGCAGCATTATAAATGTATTTACTGTCACTTTTCAATCAATTTAATCCATCCTTGCCAAAGATTATTAAAGTATTAATGTATTCATTTCTCAAACAAATATATGTTTGTGTGTGTAATTACTAAAATCTGTGCTTTTTCTACTATTATTTTGCCATTATTATACTATACAATACATGAATAATGATAGAATATAATGACAAAAGATTTTTCTAAAAATATTATTAATAAATGCTAAATTCTTTTTTAAATTATTATTATTAACCTACGGGCGGTGGGAGAAAGTAATAAAACACTGAAGAAGAAAAAATGTGTCTATGGAAATGTGGGGATGTGAATCTAATTGTATTGAATTGGATAACACAATAAAGTACTAAAGTTAATTCCTAAAGGGGTAGTTCACCCAAAACTGAATATTCTGTCATTTTTTAATCACCTGCATGTCGTTATAAACCTCTAACCTGACTTTCCTTCTTCTGACGAACACAAAAGAAGGTAATTTGAGACACTGTCTCTCTGAAACACCGAGACATTTTTTAAATATCTTCTTTTGCTCTCCACAGAAGAAAGAAGCCTTGCTGGTTGGGAACAATATGAGGGTGAGTAAATGATGACAGAATTGTCCATTTTGGGAGAACTACCCCTTTAAAATGATTAGTAGTCTCACTGGGTGCTCTCACCTGTAGACAGCACATGCAGTCTTCTGACAGGTGGAACAGTCACTGAGGTCTTGGCCAGTCCGAAAACATCGCCGACTACATAAATAGCAGGCAAGGAAAAAGATTTTAAAAGGCATTGTTTTAGCATGCCTCACATTCACATCCATAAATGCAGTTAGAGCTCATTTATAGCCCTTAGTGACCTACGCTTGGAGATAAAAACAAATGTACATCAAATTAAACTACAACTACCCTTTTTCCCTGCACCTCAGCTCTAAAACATTTCTCACAATTACCTTTAACACATCGAGCTCGCCAGTCACACTTGTCTATTATCTGCTAATCTTGGAATAACTCCGTCTCTCACCCTTTGCTGATTGCATGGCTCATCTCCAGGTCCTGGATGACGTTGAGCAGAGTTGTGACTCTTTCCTTGTTTGACTGCAGACTCGCCTCTACCATCTCTAATCTACACTTAGGGTCCCGCAGACTGCCACATTTAGGGGATGCAGGCAGCAACCTTACCGCAGAACCCGGATGGTCGTGCATTATGGAACAGCGTTCACTTGGGATGGACCCAACCGCTTCAGAACGAGATTCCATCTGTGTCTTTGAGTTCTGGAGACTCCCGTCTTTCTGTGCGTGCTCTGTAGGCAAAGTGTCTGAGGGATCCAAAAGTGGGTTTTGATTGGAGGCCACATTCAGGTTCCCATTTACGAATTTAAAAGCTGGTGCTTGTGGAGGTGCAGAGGAAGGTTTAGGAGGTCGACAAGAAGGAGGTGGTTTGTTTGGAGGTTGAAGCGAGTGTTGTGAGCCATTGGTCATTTGACCTTCTGGTTCCACTGCCTTAATATCAGTTTGTTTCTTTGACTCTGTGTCACTCCAAGATTTCAATTCAGTCCTGTTGTGTGTTGTAGCTTGAGGAAAAGCCCTAGCGGAAGCGATGGCTAGTAATGAGGACTCAAGAGTGTCATTATTAAGCTGATTCAGGACAGAGCGTCTGAAAACCGTAGGCTCTGTCTGCCTACAGCCATTCCTTGTTTATATTCATGTTGAGATAAGAATGAAGGTTAGGGCTCATGAGGTGCTGGTCTGACTGTGTAGCACTGCGTGTGCTCTGCGTGTATTCCTGCACGTCCTTCCCAGGGTAAAGAGGGGATGAATGTCTTGACTGGAGTCCCAGAGAACCTGCGGAAGTTGGCGGTGTAAACATCCTTATTTGGCTGTAAAGTCCAGGAGGTGTTGGATTCTGTCTTCCACCACAAGTGCTGCAGATGGTCACAGGAGGTCTGTGAGGAGGTGAGCGAGGAGGTAACGTTTTTTTCTTTCCAGTGGTAGACTCCTCCCCTTCACTGATGTCACTGCTGATCCCACCCATTACCTCAGAGTCAACCACACTCCCATTGGTGAAGTGACAATTCCTTCTCGGGTTTAACCTGTTGTTAGCCACACCTCTCAACGGAGGACTGGTTCTGATTGGACAATTATGGCACTGGACTTCTTCTCTGATGTTTTTACAAATATCCCTCTCCAGTCCCTCAAAAGTCACACCCTTTTTCATTTTAGTCTCCAGACTTTTTCGTTTATAAATGATACTTTTAGTTTTTTCTTTTCCGTTATCCTCCTGTTTACCAGCCTCGTTTGGGATGTGGCCGTTAGGTGGCATGATCACTTTGTTTTCTGATTGACTGCTACAAGTATCCACATGTTTGCCGTTTAGCTGTAGTTGGTTGTTTTTCATCGCAGGTGACGTCTGCACACCGACGTTACAGTGATGAGACAGTGTGAGGGTCGCCATACTACTGGTCCCATTTGCCACGGTCCTCCAGACACGTGTCCCAACAAGTGCAGGCTCTCCAAGAACTGGCACTGGAGTCGTGTGATCAGTTGCCCGTCTACCCATCTCAGGTATAACTGGTGCAGGCAGACTTGAGTGGAAAGCAATGGATTTGACCACTATGGCGCACCTGAGGTGGAAAGAGAAGGAGAACTCTTGGAAGTAAATAGACTGAAAAAGGCAGACAAAAGGTGAATAGTAATGAATGTTGTTTGGGCTACAAATACCCTGATATATGAGTCATGCTCAGAAAACGATGCTGTTTTGTTTTTAAAAAATACATATTTTTTATTTGTTTGTTAGTTTTCATGTCTAAAAAAACATTTTTTTCCCCAGCGCAGTTTCATTAAAAATGTTTTGGGGTTTTATTTCCCAGGATTGAATATTAGTGTAAAAATGGCAAATAATGGCCTAAACTAGCAAATTTCAAATACTATTGTGCTTTGTGCCAAGAACAATTCTGTATTATATTCTGTATACGATTGTTAGCCCATAACAGATGAATATTGAACTTGATGAGGCCAGTATACGAATAAGATAGACAGACAGATGATGATAGATAGATAGATAGATAGATAGATAGATAGATAGAGATAAGAGAAACTTCTCTTTATCTAAATTTTGATGTCACTCATGAAGGGGTAGTGAAGGAATAGATAAATTCTAAAAAAAAAGTATTTTAGGGGAAAAAATACATAGTACAAGTAAGATATTTTAATTTTAATAAACTTATTTTAGTCAGAAACATTTTTTTATTTATATTTAATCTATAAGGGTTTTTTTAACTAACATTTCATTTGCATTGCACACTTATTAGAGACAAATCCGTCATCTAATGCAACTAAGTTCAGTATTCTGTAAATGATATCATTAGTCAGTCATGAGGACACACATTCATGTAGTACAAATTGCACTGTTTTCTGACAATGACCCACATAATAAAAACTGCAAAGTATCAACCATCTGCTACCGCCTGCAGTTAATTTTGAAATGAATACATTATATCAAGGCATTGGATGAAAATGCAAAATTTGGGGGTGCAATCTATTATGAGACGTGTGAAGAAGAAGAAGAAGAAGAAGAAGTAGAAGAAAAGGAAGAAAAAACCTCATGCAATGCTTCAGAAATGACATTTCTGTTCCAGAGCACAAGACCTGATAATAGAATGTACAAAAGACCTTCTTGCCTAAATTAGATGAATCCAATTTGGAAAGAGTAAGCAAAAAGATGAGAGAGAACAAAGTGAAATCAAAAGAACAGAGTGATATCAAACAGAAAGAGAGAGAGAGCAGGTACAAGTGTGCTGTAACATATTCAGTTTCCATTACTTCTGATCTATCTGTGCAAAAAATGAATATGTACAGTTTCCAGGAATATAGAGAAACTGGTCCGTTTGCTCAGTTAAACTGTCAACATGTGTGTGTGTGTGTGTGTGACTAATTAAATATTTCACACACTGACAAACGTTTTGTTCTGCTCTGACTTGACTTTCTCTCCTTTCCGCTGCTACACCTGGCCCCCCGCCAGCCAGGCTCGGCTGTCCTCTCTCTCATTCAACCCACCTTGGGCACCTTGATAATTTGCCTGACAAAGAGGGTGTTAATCAGCGACTGACAGTAAATTTTCTAATGAGCCACTCTAATAAGTGAATGTTTCGAAAATGTGTTCGTGCGTAACATTTTGCCTACATTTTAAGGACAAATGTACTCAAAAGGATAGTACAAACTAAAATTATCTATATTGTGGGAACCTGTTCATGCATAAATATGGTAAATAACATATTAAATAATGTATTAATAGAAAGCTACAGAAAAACTGAGAAAAAAATATTGCACTCAGTTGCACATGTATTGCTTCATATGTGTGAAAAAAACAGCTTACTGGCTGTATACTTAATAAAGATATAGACCAAAACAGTATAT